GTCTAATGACTGCCTGTGAACCCCTCAAGTAAACCTCTTTAGTCACCCAGCCCAAGCACAGCCTCAGCCCAGCCCCTTTCTTCCCCGCAGGGAAGAACCCAGTGCAGCCTCTGGTCCCAAGTGCATAGCAGCAGCCCACCCTCGCCCTGCACGTGCATCCAGGAGGCACATGCCCCCCGTGCCTCCCCCAAGGGTATGCGCAACAGCAGGTGCTGCCCCCTGCACTTTCTGGACTAACCACAGCTCTGTCCCGTATCCTGGCTGTGCAGCACCTGCCCTTGTCCCAGCCCTAGCCCCACTCCCTCACTGTGGGGGCCTCAATGTGCCCTCCCCCTACCCCTTCCTCCCAGCAGGCTTACTAGCCAGATGCTGCTCTCCAAGCTGCCGGGCTGCGTATCGGCAAGTGGATTGGTATCGACCTATATGGCGAGTTGATAATCGGCCATTGGTATCAGCCCAAATTATCTTTATTGGTGCACCCCTACAATTTTGCTGTGGTAGCAATGTTCTTATTGCCCCTTGTGATCGTTAAAACTAAATCCCTATCATTTTTAACCTAGGTGACTGTGGAGACCATGTTGTCGTAATAAATACAAGGCACATTGCTTTTTCTGGGAATAAATGGGAACAGAAGGTGTATTCTTCACATTCTGGGTAAGTGCTCCATCATTTCACAGTCAGTCTTTGAAGAAGTTAATCGTATGGATTGATTCTGCAGCCAGTTTTGGTTTTGTATTTGATTTTTTTCCCCCCCATAAAATATCACTTCAGAAGGAGACTTGTTTTTGAATATGCTTTGTTTTTTTATGTGTTTAAGAATAAAGTTTATGTCTATATCATCTTTGGAGTGATCTTGTAAATACTGCCGTAAAAATAAGCCCTGCCTGTCGTGCCTGTTTGTCTCTAATCCCAAACTTGCAAACTGAGCAAAATAAATGGACATACGTCTGATCACGCCTGCCTACAGCACCATACTGGGGCTCTCCACATATTCTGGACTGCTCAGGCACCTACCCCAACTATATATTCTGACTAATATACAGGCCTAGGCATGCTTGAGCGGGTAGGGCTACTGGGCTCACTCCAGAGGCCCTTCAGAAAGATTTAAGACGTAGCCTTGAAAGGTTTTTTTTTTCCTGGCATAATATGCATTTCTAGGGAAATAATATGAGATCTACAGTGTCAGAAGCAGGCATAAATTAGATTTATCTAGGAAAACTTTATTATTGGATGGAGATGAAGCTGAAGATGAGGTTATTTTTGCTAAAGAGTAGTTTCTTTTGTTTAAAACATCAAGGAAGCTAACCAAAAACATTATTTTAAGAGGAAATTAACTTGAGTTATGTTAGCAGATCAAAGGGCAAATAAGATTATGAGATCAACGCTTTGCCTCAAGCAATGAGAAACTGAATAGAAAGATAATGCAGGCACTTAGTGTTAACAGGATTGTGCCTGGGTGATTTAAACCTCTTTTAAAATCACTGAGAAAATCACTGAAAAATGAGGTTCTATCAAAAAAGAATTGATAATAGGCTGTCATCAATGTTATTTCCCAAGCTTCTGGTTTGAAGCCTCTGGCATGAATAACTTTATAGACAGAATTACCCCAGTCAATGAAAGCTAATAAAAACAGTTGCTCCTATATTTCTAATGTGACCACACTAGTTGATTAATTAAAATAATTATTAAAATAGATCCATTGGGGAACAATGTGTACATGTCTGTAGGAAAAAGTAAAAATGGCAGCAAGAATCAAAATAAGTTATAGAAATAAAGTGAGGCTATTTGAATAAAAGAATGTTATGTATATACTTCATGTATTATTTTAATGGTGTATTAACAGTTTTGGAATTTCCAGTCCTGAAGAATTCAGGAGGTATTAATGAGAGGCTGATTCAGAGCCTGTGGACATAGAAAGCCCCAAAATCATTTACTTCATTGGGCTTTTGATCAGTAGTGAAGACAGACTAATGAATCTGTAGAATGTAAAAATACTGGTAGTAGTTTTGAAAAGAAAACCGAGGAAAATACATTAAAAGATGGTAACGTGTAATTAGAGAGTTCTTATGTCCTAGAAGACTAGAATCAAACAAATATGGGTCATGGATAAGAGAACTTGTTCTGAAAATATTAGCCTCTCAATTTCATATAGAGCCTAAAAGCAACATAAACAGAAGGGAGAAAAGAAACTTACATGTTAGATGGAATAAGGGTTACATTTGTTGAGGGCTGAATTAGAGGGGGTGAACCCTCACTTTTTTTATTGGGCCCAGAAAGCTGTGAATAAAAGGGTGAAGCTAGCCAGGCTGACCAAAGGAGCCAGGCAAGGAAAGCTTGAGCCTGCCCTTAGTTTCTTTTCTTGTCACACCTGGAGCCTAAGCTTGCCCTTATGTGCTTATCTTCTCATGCTTCTTGTCACCTTGGTTGAGAACCGCTGGCATAACCACTGAGTGCATATTAGTGAAGTCTTGCACCTGTGCAATTGTGTGTTCACGTGCTATATCTCATACAACTCTCCAACTTAGGCTGGGGGTTGGCAACTTACGGGCTAGATTTGGTCTGCACCAGCTCAGAAGGGGAGCAGCTGCCTGGGTGGCAGAGGAGGCACCTCCTGAGTCCTACAGCCCTCCATGTTCTGTCTATTCCCGCTGCGGTCTCTGTAGACCCCCAGCCCTCTCTGTTCTATTCCAACGGCACTGCCATATTTAATCCAGCCTACACCCTTGGTCACTTGAATCAATGGCAAGGGTAAGTGCAGGTGGCTTGGGTAGCATAGGGGTAGAGATTTGCAGCCCATGGCAGAGTTCCTGGTTGTAACCAGTAGCCTGGTGCAGCAAGGGATTGCCAACTCCTGGCTTAAGGCATTGGGGAAGGGAGAAATCCAGATCTGGGTCTCTCTTTAAAAAGAGGATGAACCCTGGCTTGCTTTTAGAACCTAAGGATGCATTCAGGACTGTGAATCCCAAGTGGAAGCAGGTGCTATCTGACAACCCTGAGTTGGGTAGTCCAGTCCTGATGCCTTAAGACACAACCTACCATTAGCATTCCATGCAAAATAGCTTGTGCTTTTCCTTGCCTCTTATGCTGGCTTTTGTTAATCACTTTGAGGTGTAAATTCATCCCCATGCATTGTATAGGGAATCCGGCCACCTAACCCAGGACTGAATTCTTCACTAGGGGCCAGGAGTCTAAAAGCTCAATATTGTAATGCTGAACTAAGTCCTTTTGCAGATTCCTACGTTCTGAAGCCATTTTTACAAATATGGTTGAGGTTTCAAAGTCACTTAAATGTTTAAGAATTTTTTCCTTTTTTTCAAGACTAGAATCCATTTGCACTAATCAGTAGTTTGTAATTTTGATTAAATGCAGTGTTATCTTGAACCAAAGCTTTTATCATCAAATTGTGTGAAATTAATGGTTTTAAGTTCTCAGTGCTTTAAACCCAGTGAGTGGCAACATTTTGCCTGTGGGCCAGTTCTGGATCTGGTCTACAGAATCATGGAGCTTTGGCTGTACCTATGCCTATACTTGGGCTGAGTAGCAAGAAGCTGTGCAGGGGAGCTGGAAGCTGTACCTGTGCCACTGCTGCTTTTCTCCCTCTAACCCCACCTTCCCCAAGGCTGTGGCACATCTACAGCTTCCCCCTGGAGGGGAGCTGCACAAGGACTGGGCTGGGGTAAAGAATGGGGAGGAGAGGCAGGGACAGGGAAAGAGCTCCTAGCTGCATGGCTCTGGGGGCATGAGCTGCTTTGGCATGTGTCTAACCTAGACAGTATGAAAAGACCCTGTCGGGCTTAGGCAGAGCTTAGTACCTTGCTGAATTGGGCCCTGTGTACAGTAACTACCTTAGGTGAACAATTCAAAGATTACAGATGCTAATATACACTGACTGTATCCCATAACACTAGGCTTCCCCACCCTTCAACTATAACAGAATTTGAACTTCATAGATTGTAATATTTACCCTGTACACATTTGCTTTGCAGTATGTCACATTATGGTAAGTGTCCCATATGTTATTCTGTGGACAAAACATGAAGAACAGACTAACAAGTAACAAAGGCTGCTGACAGATGTGAAAAAAACCAAACAAGCCAAAAACAGCGCTTTACTAGAAAAATCGTCATGTTAGTTTGATCTGGCTTCCCAGTGCCTGTATAGATTGGGCATTTCAGCGGGGCTTTTTGGCACTTCTATCTAATAGCTGATTGAATCCCCAAAAAACCCCACTGAAGCACCTGGTCTATACAGATATTGGGTGAGCCAGGTCAAACTAACATGATGCCTTTGCAGTGAGCGCTGCAAATGCCCAGAAGAGGTGTGCCAAGCTTAAAGTAAAGTTTTGGTTTTTTTTGTTTTTTCCACATCTGTAAGCAGCCAAAGATACTAGTGTAGCCCTACATATATATAAGCCACTGATTTATATCTGGCACCTACTCCATCTGGCCTGGGACCTTCCCAGTATGAGGCGCAGATCCCACACCTACTGCCTAGGAAATGACCTGCTCAGTAACATGGAAGTGGAAAGGGATCTTGGAGTCCTAGTGGACTCCAAGATGAACATGAGTCGTCAGTGTGACGAAGTCATCAGAAAAGCTAACTGTACTTTATCATGCATCAGCAGATGCATGACAAACAGAACCAAGAAAGTAATACTTCCCCTCTATCAGGTGCTGGTCAGACCGCAGTTGGAATACTGCGTGTAGTATTTGGGTGCCACACTTCAAGAGGGATGTGGATAATCTGGAGAGGGTCCAGAGGAGGGCCACTCGTATGGTTAAGGGCTTGCAGGCCAAGCCCTACGAGGAGAGACTAGGGCACCTGGACCTCTTCAGCCTCCGCAAGAGAAGTTTGAGAGGCGATCTTGTGGCTGCCTATAAATTCATCATGGGGACGCAGAAGGGAGTTGGTGAGGCTCTACTCACCAAGGTGCCCCTGGGGGTCACAAGAAATAATGGCCATAAGCTAGCAGAGAGCAGATTTAGACTGGGCATTAGGAGGAACTTCTTCACAGTTAGAGTGGCCAAGGTCTGGAATGGGCTCCCAAGGGAGGTGGTGCTCTCCCCTACCCTAGGGGTCTTCAAGAGGAGGTTGGATGGGCATCTGGCTGGGGTCATCTGAACCCAGCACTCTTTCGTGCCTATGCAGGGAGTCGGACTCGATCTATTGAGGTCCCTTCTAACCCTAACATCTATGAATCTATGGCTAACAGTTGAATTCATAATAGTTCTTCATATTTTATTTTATTTTATGTGGTGTAGTTGTGGTTGTGGCAGTATATAATATATTAGTAAACTATCTAAAATGGGTGTCAAACATATGATTCATGAGCTGGATCTGGCCCACAGAGCTCTACCATCCATCTGTTACCACCATTCTGCCCCTGGGTCTGATCAGACCCACACAGGGCCTGACACGTGCCCGTGGCATGGAGGCAAGATCTGACCCACAGACCCCTTCCCCTTCCCTTCCCCCAGCATACCTGATCTGGCACCTACTCCATCTGGCCTGGAACCTTCCCAGCATGAGGCGCAGATCCCAGAGTAGGCAGAACGGGCACAGTCTGGCTAGAGGAGCAGCCACGCTGCACATGGTGGCTGCACCAGCTGGACTGCAATGCATGTAGTGCTTGCTCTGGGATGTGCTCCACTACAGCACCTGCTCGAGCCAGTCTGGGATCCACACTGCAAAAAGCACTCTCAGGCACCATGCGGATCGTGCATCCCAGACTGGCTGGAACAGATGCCACATATGGCACAGTCCTGGAGCTGCTGGACCGAGTGCCATGTGTGTCGCAGTCTGGCTCAGGTGGCCACATGTGCATTGCGACTGCTGCTGTGACCAAACTAGTGCCTATTCCAGCTGCTCCCAAGCTGGCTGGAGAAGCCACTGGATCAGGTATATTGGGAAGGGGAGGAAGGTCCATGGGCCTGGTCCTACTTACAGACCAGCCCTGCACCATTTATTCAGCCCATGGGGCCAAAATAGTTTGACACTCCTGGTATACAACAAGTATTTTTTTTTTTTTTGCAAGGGCATCACTTCAGTACCCAAGTGAGAATATAGGCCTTTGGCAAAACAGAATGTTTCCATTATAAAAATATATTCCGCTCATGAGAAGCACTTCCTATTACTTGTGGCTTTATAGGAAGGCATATGGTATCGTTTTCTTCAAGATCCATTGCTTTCTACTGCAAACACTGGCTGTATTAATGAAAGCATAAAATCTTAAGTTAGCTTCTTTTGTATTTTAGTTATCCTGGAGGCTTCAAGCAAGTGACAGCGGCTCAACTTCACCAAAAGGATCCAACTGCAGTAAGTATTTCTGGTTCTCTCTTATATTTTGTTTTGTTTTCATGTAGTTAGTTTCCTTTTAGTTTAGGGGATGTGTTTCATAATTGTCAACTTGTCCTTGTAATGGACAAAGAAATAGGGTTATAGCTCTGGGCCCTGACCTGCACTTCAGACAGCATGAGAAATTGGCTGTACATAAGAAATAATTTACCGTTAGAACTCCTTGTTGTAGGTACAGAGCTGTACAGTTTGGAGGGAATTACACTGGAGGGTCAAATGGACTTACCCCAACAGAAATTAGTTAGGTGATAACCATTGTGAAACTAATGGATTCTGCCTTTGTTACACTAAATATGAAGATAAATTGAAACAATTTGAGAGACATTCCTTTGGCTTGTTATGTATGAATAACACTGTGCTTTGAAGTTAAAACTGAAGAGTTGTTAGATTATGCACATATACTATTTGTAAATTCAGTTTTAATGGCCAAATCAAGGTGTTAACTTAGCTCATTTTTGACCAACTGACTTACAAAGAAGATCAGACCTATTAAAAAAAAAAAAATTAATTGGTTGCCTCAAACTAGGCTCATCTAAGTTGCATATCAGTTAATGGTCCTAGTCCTTTCTTAACAGTGATGATTTAAATGCAAGAAAATACATCTATGTTTCTGAAATTTGATAGTGCATTATAGTAATTGGGTTTTTTTTAGCTGCTTTCCTGTGCTATATACTCTACACATGGTGTATCAAAGAACTAAAAAGGTTTATTGTATGGAGGAATGACATCTGGATTTGATAGGTAATCAGGATATTACCCATGCTTACTTGTATCCAAGGTGCCTCCCCCCCACCCCCTTCCCACCATTCAGCTCATATACAAGATGAGAACCCTTCGTCTTGGACATGAGTAATGCACTGGCAGGTGGCTCTTCTGGCTCTGGATCCAGAGCCACTGCCACCCAGTGTAGCTGGTGACATGGTGTACAGCCTGGGGAGAGCATGAAGGAGACTGTGTATGGTGCAGGTAGGGGAGCTGCTTTGGCTCTGGCTCCAGCTGTGACCCAGGCCCAAGGCTGCAGGTGAAGCCAAAGCCACTGCCACCTACCCCAAGCTAGAGCTAGAGCTGCTACCACCACTGGTGTTTGGCTGGGCCAGAGTCACAGCCATCATTGGCTCAAGCCTGGAATAGTGGCACAGGGTACAGATGACAGAGGGTCAGGAGGAGCCAAGTAAGTGGAGGAGCAGGCAGCAGGGATCTGCTTTCCCTGCTACAGCAGTGGTGGGAGTTTACTGGAGTTATGTTTAGCCTCTCAGCAGTAGTCCCTAAGCATAAAATCCTTATAGAGTGACCCAAATCACAGTAGAAAGATTCTGATTGACTTCAAAGGGCTACTTGCCTATCAGATGTTTAAATTACTTCATCTTATCCGCATCAGATTATGCATTTGCTCTAAATACTTTTTGTTTTGAGAAACTACCTTGAAGCATTGGATTGTAAACTTGTTATACATCACTTGGTACCAGTCTAGAAAAAAGACTTGACTGATTTTTTGATTGTAGCTTCATCATATTGAATTAAGAACAAAAAAACGGAATAAAACCAGATAATTTGCTATTATGCGCATGGATTTTTTTTCCTAAAAACAAATGGAATGTTCTTAAAGGGGAGGCTGTACTGTGGCTGTAATGATTTTTAGAAGTATTAGTTCCATGTCTAATATGTTTTCTACTTTTATGACTTGTATTCAAGGTTTAGATGCCAGTAACTGTACACTGGGAGGCAGTATAACCTAACTTATTTTCCCAGACCAGAGAATTAGTTTCTTTATAAAGTCCCTTCTGGCATTCATTATGAATTCAAGATTTTCTTGCCAAACTCTCATGGATGAATTTCTCTGGGAACAAAGGTCAATTAAATGCATTACAAATAGTTAAACCATGTTGGACAGAGACTCAACAAAGGTCAAAACTTCATTTTAGTTAATGACAGACTTTTTTGTAACAACATGCTTGGAAATTAACTCTTTCACCCTGAGTGGTTAGATACCCTTCCAAGCAGACTCTCTGAAGCCATGTTTTTTGTCATGTTTGTATTTTACACTGATAGATGTGATACTTGGTTTGGTACACCAAGGCTAGAGACAGACATTACACACAAACTAGTTTAAATGATCAGAAACTGGTTTAAACCTGTTACAGAACAGGCATTCAGTGCACATAAACCAGTTTCAAAATGGCCAAAACTGATTTGAGATAACCGTGGTTGAATGTAGTATTAGACTTAACTGATTGAGCTCAAACCAGTTTATGCAATGTCTGTCCCAGACCCCTTCCTGGTTTAAGTTTAAACCAGAGTCCTCCAACAGCCCAGCATGCTCTCTGGTCTAGGCTGTGCTCTTTACTCCAGAGCAGGGCTGGCCCCACCCCTCTGCTCTCTAGCCCAAGCCAAGAGAGGCCGTAGCAAGATACTGGCTGGCATGGCCCCGTTAAGGCAAAGTGGGCAGGGAGGGAGTTCATTCTTCCCTCCCTTCCCACTTTCCTCACCACAGCAAGGGTCTGCCCACTTGCCAGGGAGCAGAGGGGAGGGGGCTGTGGTAGTTTCATAGATTTTATAGATTTCATAGACATTAGGGGTGGAAGGGACCTCAGAAGATCATTGAGTCCAGCCCCCTGCCCAAGGAGCAGGAAGTCAGCTGGGGTCATAGGATCCCAGCAAGATAAGCTTTCAAATTTCTCTTGAAGGTGTTCAGTGTAGGTGCTTGAACCACCTCCGATGGCAGGCTGTTCCAGACATTGGGGGCTTGGACAGTGAAGAAATTCTTCCTTATGTCCAGCCTGAAACGGTCTTGTCGGAGTTTATAACCATTCGACCTTGTCATCCCTTGGGGCGCTCTGGTGAACACCCCTGATAAATTTATAGGTGACCAAATGGCCCCTGGGACTGGCAGACCCCAGCTGTAGGACAGAAGGGATGGAGGGAGGAATTAACCCTTTTCCCTTTCACCTTAACGGGGCCTTGCTGAGGCTCTGATCCATGCTGGGAGGGATTCTTCCCCCACCCCACTGCCATGGGTTGGGGAGGGGGGGGCTCTGTGATGCTGCCCAGCCCCAGAGGGGGCTCTTCACCCCGTTTCTCCCTTGCTTCTGTGGGGAAGGTAGGGGGCTCTGTGTGAGGCTGCCCAACTCCAAAGGGGGACTTTTGCCACCCCATTCCTCCCCCACGGGCTGGGGAGGGGGACTCTATGCAGTGGTGGGGGAGGGTGGGATTTTCACCCTCGTCCTCCCACCTCCACTGCCACGGGGCAGGGAGGGAGGGCTCTGTACAGCGCTGGGCAGCCGCAGCTGCTGGGGGTGGCCTCACCTCTGCAGCCCAGATTAGCCTCACTATGCCCAAGCCAAGGCAGTCCCACATTGGGGCCGGGCCACCCCTGGCAGTTGCAGCTCAGTGATGGGGACACTGAGCCCTGTCAGCAGCCCTGCCCGGCCTGAAATGTGTGGCTGGCAGCTGGCTGGGCACTGGGCTAGCTGGGCCAGCTTGGAGGTGCTGACAGGCCTGGAGCCCAGCACCTGCCCACTGTGGCAGCTGGCTGTGCACCCATGAGCCCCCACAGCACCCCTAAGCCAGTCTGGCTAACCCACTGCCCAGCCAGCCACTGGCCACGTGCATCGGACCAGGCTGTGCTTGCTGACAGGGCTCAGCATCTGTGTTGCTGAGCTGCACGTGCTGGGGGTGGCTCTGTCCCTGCAGACCGGTCCAGCCCCACTGTGCAGCTGCCTCGGCCAGGGCTGAGTGAGGCCAGTCCCGGCCGTGGGGGCAGAGCCACCCCCAGCAGCTGTGGCTCAGTTACAGCTGCGCTCTGGCTGGGCAGGGATGGGCAGCACCACACAGAGCCCCTCTCCCCACCCTGCAGCGGCGGAGGCTGGGGGAGGGGGAAGAGATTGCCCCCCTCCCCAGCACTGAACAGAGCCCCCCCTCCATACCCTGCAGGGACAAGGGGAGGATGAGGGGGTAGAGTCCCCCCTCCCCAACACTGAACAGAGCCCCACCCTCCCTGCCCCTCGGGGGAGTAGGAGGGGAGAAGAGTGAAAAGAAGAGTCCCTCTCCAGGGCCAGGCAGCTTTGCAAGAGCCCCCCTCCCCACCCCACAGTGGCGGAGGGGGAAGACCCCCCCAACACCAACCTGAGCCCCCTCTTCACCCCACCCTGGCAGTGGGGGAGAGGGAAGAGAGGGAAAAGTTCCCCTCTGGGGCCGGGCAGCCCTGTGTGCTGGGATTGTCAGGGAGCCACTGGGGCAGGCAGAGCTCTCCCCCAACACAGCGGTCTGGCCACTTCTCCCACCCTCCAAACCCTGCAGGCCAAGGTGGGGCTTTAAACCCCTTCTCAGTCCTACTCAGGCCTGCCCAGGTCTCCACCCCCGGCCCCCAAGCTTAGCTTCCCTGTGGAAGAGATGGGGGAGAGCTGCTGTAGCGCCCCTGGGCTTCTGACCTGAGCCCCTGCAGGAATGTCCCTGCATTTCCAGAATGAAAAGGGAGCATCTGTACAATTGCAAACCGGTTCAATTTCTGCGGGTTAGACTAACCTGCAAAGATTGAATCAGTTCAGGCTCAGGCTTTTTGAATGTCTGTTCTTAGCCCTAATATACTGTATGTGTACTTTTATTCTTAAGGGTTATTCTGAGAAATTCAAATTGTGCAGCCAAAAACTCGGATTGCTTCTTAGCCAGAGCTCAGAACTAGTACTCCCACATTTTCATCTTTGACTGGGCAATTGCCTTGGCACAGTCAGCCTTGCTCTGCTTGAAATGTTGTTCTCCCTTGACTTGCATGACTGTCTTGGTTCTTTTTTGACCTCTAATAATTCCTTTGTCCCATCTTTTGGATCCTCTTCATCACCTTCCTGAGAAGATCCCACAAGGCTCGGTTGCTACTCCATTCATTCTCTTCTTAGCCTGTCTATCTGATGCATCTTCATCACTGAGTAGCCACTGTCACAGTTGCAGCATAGTTCTTTACAATCTCC